GAGTGTTCCCGTAGCATAGTATAGTGGGTTCCGTGGCTACATTACTCAAGGAAGTATCTGCTGCCAATTTGTCCTGCACTGTCGCGGTTCGAATTCCGCTTAGGGTGTTGATAAGACCAATGCGAGGTCGAAACTGCAGTCCACCCGGGATGAGAACAACTTTTGGAAACGCAAGGCTCTGTGAAATGCATTGGAAACGTCAGCTCAACTCATATCATTGTGGGAAAATTTTACTACTAGTCCTTCATCACCTTAGACGAAATAGGGTGAATACATCTCATTATACTAGTAAATTAAGTTGGTTTATTTCAATAGGTGGAAGTCTTTGTTGAATAATTAGTGAACGAGGTGTGAATGATTATAGGCAGTTTTGTCCAAGCTAAATTAGGGAAATTAAAAAGTTTATGGATTTTGTTAGTGCATTAAGGCACGACAAGACCTTAAGAGTTTTTTAACGAGTTACGCTGATACGTAAAATCTCAATTTTTCTGCGGAATACAAAATTAATTACATGTATTATCAAGTGTGAGAAACCTTTTTTGAATAACACGGAAGCTAAAAAACACAGAATTAATGTTAAAGGTTGCACCTAGTCTTTGAAATAGATCAAGACTGGCTATCAGTTAAATAATCATTTCTATTTTCAGAAATGTGGCAAATGTAGAGCCACCTATAGAGAAAAAAGTTGGTCCTCAAAAACTGTCCAAGCGGGTCTACGGGGGTGGAATAGTGTAATCCATGCAGCCAAGCAGGGTAGAGGATCGACTAAGTAAATGTTTTAAATTTCTCAACTAATTATTTACATTACTTCTAAATTTAATAATGAAAAGAGGCAAGTAAAAAATTTATGAGCTACTACTTTTAAAGTATGTATAGGTTAGTAAAGTTGTGAATTCCACATCTGCCTGGAGCTAGCGAAATAAGTGTTTATGCACTTTGAAATTAAATAAGGAGGACTAATTTTGCAAATATAATAATCTTGTAGGCTAGTGCCGAACATTTCCTCATCTAGAGCCGGGTATGACCCTGCAAATAAATACGACGAGAGAAGGTGCAAATTCTAGTCAATCATGGAGGTAAGGCTACGGAATGTTCTCATTAAAGATGAGAACGTTATTTGTAGTTTTCAATTTTTATCAGAAGTAGTTTTACTTTACAAAGAAAAGAGACACGATCTATCAGGCAACTTTTTGTCCGTTAATTTGAAGCATATTGACCAAAGCAATCTAAACTATAGATTAATGGTGGCTTGGCGCACTATGTTAAACAATATAACCATGCGATTGCATTTTGCATAAACGCTTCTGGTCGAATCTATTCAATGCATATTCTAAATTTTTTGCAGTATCTAATATAGCTCAGCTTACCTCTAAATATAAAACCTCTAAATTATAATTTTATATTGCTAAAAAGTCATAAAATAACACAAATTAATCATGATGAGTAATGGAATGCAGTAGGAAGATGAAATATAAACCTAATAAGCTCTATTATAAATGAAGACTTGTAATCTATTTTTATACCTTTGCTTATGTCGGCAATGCCCAAAACCTTGCCATCAATTTCTCCGGAGAAATCTTGTGGACTGATCAACGTAGTCCCCTGTTTCGATAAATCGACGACCTTTTTGACTCCAGATGCTTCTTGTTGACGGCTGTCTAGAAGTTCTGGCGACGATGGCCCTCTTTCAGATGTTTTCAGCAAAGACGATGAGGAAGTAGGCAAATGTGCAGGAGTAACTATGGTTAGCATCCGCCGTCTTGGTAACCGACGCAACGGTCCTCCATAATGATTGTGGCCACGCATCTGATGCTGCTGAAGACTATCCTTACGCTTAAACCGTTGACCACACGCGGAGCAGGCGTATGGACGGTCGGCGTGGTGCACACGCGCGATATGCTCTAGCATGGCATCCCTGTTGGCAAACACCGGTACTGGAGGGTAAGGCCCGGCTGCGATTATAGAAGTGGTCGCTTGGGGAGAAGGAGAAGAAGAAGGTGAGTAGGAAGTGGAGGACAGAACAAGTGATCGAGAGGAGGAAGGTGATGATGATGATGATGATGATGATGATGATGATGATGATGATGATGATGAAGAAGAAGATGAGGATGAGGAATTGGCTGCAGATGAAGTAGAGGGCTTGCAAACTGAAACAGTTTCCTCTGTTGCCGCATCGGGATTTGTTTCGATGCTTGCTTCATTGATGCCCTCTGACTGTGTCTGGCTCTGGCTAGCAGCAGATGCTGCTGCCGCCGCCGCAGCTGCCACCGACTCAGTAGCCTTTGCCTTGCAGATGGCACATGTGTATGGCCTCTGTCCTAGATGAACTCTACGTACATGCTTGTGCATCCGGGCCGGAGAGGAGAAAAGTAAACGACAGTGCGGGCAGCGGTCGTCGCGCTGGATACCATGCTGAAGGGCTATGTGGCAAGTGAGCTTGTAGGAAGTGGGAAATCCAAGACCGCAATGTACACAGACGTAGTGCCTAGCCAAGCCTAACAGTCAGCGTAGAAAATGGGAATCAAAGGTTGGACAGACAAATAAATAAATGCTCTATCAGCCCAAAATTAAAGAAAAGCTTCAAAAAGAACAAGTATCCAGTAAATGTAATGACAACGATAATCTCGTAATGCCAAGGATTGTTTAAAATTTTATTTTGCCTGAATCTATCCCCATATAACCTAATTATTTGAGAAAGTGAGTCTGAATGGTTAAATAATCAAAGGTTAGACTAAAGCCTGGATAAACTCTTCTAGCATCTTTAACAGCTTCAACATTCGTAACTATACGGAGAAGATCAAAGCAAATTAGGTGAAAAAGAAGTGGAATTTTGAAGAAACCTTTATGAGTAAAATTAAATAACGTTAGCTGAAAGTGTATTGACCTCATTATTGCAACTTGGTCTTGTTGTCCGGGAGACTTAGTAGAACGCACCTAGTCCGAAGTCGTCTGCCATAATAGTTATCATAATTCCCAGCATCAGACAGTGCCTTTGGTGCATTCTCAAACGTTTCGTCGACATCGTAGTCGGCATCATCAGTGGGTGCTATCATTAATCACACCAAACTACGAACCCGTCAAAGAGACAAATGAAATCAATCCTTCGACCAACATTCTGCCGAAAAAGGTTACACTATCACTCCTCTTTCTATCCTGGCCAACCTATCTACTCCTTACCCTCTTATCAGCACTCACTGCCGATGCCGACTACAAAGCAGGCGAAACGTTTGAGAATGTACCAAGCGCATTGTCGGATGCTGGGAAATATGATA